CCATTCGATCAGTCCTTCAAACCGGTAACCGTTTGCCTTTATTCGATTGATCATTCACATCGTCATGAAGCATTGTTGCATTAAACAATTACTTTGTCATAGTTACATTGTTTCGTTGAGCGAATTAGCTTCAATCATTTACCTTGAACCATTTTCCATGAAGGCGACCTATTCCATCTACGTCTACCTCTAGCCATTTGCGCCAACGTAGCCCGTTGTTCTTGAAAACCATTCAACCCTTTCACCATCCCCATTATTTGCATCGTTTCCCTTAACCATTGAATTCGGACATTTACCTTTCCTAATGTTCATCATACCTTCAATCCTTTCCATGTACCTTAAAACCCTTAACATTTTTGATTTGGTTCTTTGGTTTTCATTGCTTTCCATTTAGCTTCCGTTTGTTTTCATGTGTTTCACATGCTTTTTGGCCCCTTGTCCATGCACTTCTCCAGGACCTCTTCGAGGTCACCGAGCTCCGCGCCTCTGAGGCCGCCTTCGCGGCCATCCGCAACGACGGGACCTGCGTGGCCTGGGGCCCTGCAGATGCCGGGGGCACCGCGCCCCAAGAGGACGGGGTGGGGTCGGCACCCTCGGCATGTCTGAGGTTCCCGTTTGATTTTGCTTTGTGTGTTTGGCAAAATGCCTGGCGAGGTGTTTCTCGTCGAATGCTACTCCTTTTTTTCTGAAACTTAAGTCACTGAAAAAGCACGATCAACCAGATCGCCATGTTTAAATTACATGGTGATCGCATATGTGGCTGTTTGGCCCATTAAAAGGGGACTCCCTCTAAGTTGGCAAAGGAGCTCGGATCAGGAAAGGCGGGGATAAGGGGTGTCTTCACGTTTGCCTACATAATTATTCAATCATGGACCAGTAACTACTTTGATATAAAACAGGGTACGGACAACCTGACCTTGTTGTCTTAGTCCTTGGGTCTGTTTGTTTAAACGTGATCTTCTTTAACCTTCCTTGTTAGAAGCGACTCATGGCGACGTTTTATGGAAACAGCTTGTGCCCTAACCTGGAGGCGCAGAAAGTCACAGAGCTCCGGGCCTCCGAAGGCACGGAGGGTCGGTGTTCTTGTTCGTTTGTTTGCTTTTGTTTTGTGTGTTGTTTCTTGTTGCTGTGTTGTCGTGGCTTTGGTTTTATCATCTTTGCATGAAGACACAAAGTGGTTTCTTGGTTTACGCATCGCCTATGCAAAGAGTATTTATGTCCTCCATGCCTGGGGGGCGCACAAACGCACGCCTGACCTGACCTTGACCTTTGGCGTTGTCGCAGTTGTCATGCTGTTTCTGGTCGCGTTGTTTTATCTTCAGTTATGTTTCATCTGAAGTTCCCAACTTGAGGATAGTTGTCTTTGAGAAAGCGTCGTTTCAACGAACAGGAGAGCCCAAGCGAATTGTCTTGTAATATATTTTTACACAAATGACTGGTTTTGGCACGAATCCGCTGGTGTTGGCGATATCGGGTTTCTGGAAGTTGTCAGGTGGTCCAGTTGATTGCATTGTTCTGGTTTTCCTAGTTCCTGACAATTGCTTCTATGCTCTGAATTGTTGCGTGGCATGATTGATGTCACAAGCTTCTAAGGATGCGCGTGTGATGCTGTGTTGCTGTCTTTCTTCGTTATGTGAAGCCTTTGCTTAGCTGGTCTTTGTTTGTCGTTGTTTGGAAACCCTTAGCGTAGTTTATCTAAGCATTATCTCATCTGGTATATTAGGCATTTTGCTTAGTTCCTAGGTTGCAATATGTTGCTGTGGCCTCAACCAGACACCGTGTAGATCTGGCAGGCGAAGCCCACGTTTCAGGTTTAGTCCGTGCTTATGCTGGGTTTGCCAACATACATCCCTGCTTTGTTTCCGACGACCGTTTTGCCACTGCAAGGGTCAGATTCGCTGTGATCCAGGCGCTTTCGCAGCGCTGCGCTCGGATGGCACAGTGGTGACTTGGGGTGCGGCCGCCAGTGGCGGTGACAGCTCCGGAGTGCAGGAGATGGGGCAACGGGTTTGTGCGAAACTCAATTCAAGCGCTGGGGTCTGGGGGGTCCACGATTATCGCCACCTACATACAGCCTAACGGGTGAGCCTCCATGCTTTTTCTGAAGAGTAACGCGGAACCCCGAAAAATACCCATGTTTCATTTTGCGCAAGACAATTTCTTCATCGATTCCATAGTGTTCCGGGTAAAGTGGACTGGTTAGGTTAGTGCAGTTGTTTTTTGGTTTAGGTTCCTTTTTGCGTTTTGGCGAAGGGATGATCAGAATTGATCAGATGATCCAATTAGTTTCCAATCTCATAGTTTCTGGGCATTATGATTACATGTTTGGGCTTGATCGCAAAGAGATCATCTTGTTTTTCGCCGCGAGCCTTTGAAACTGGTGCACGACGAGGAGCGGCTGGCGGGGGTGCGAGAGATCTGCGCCTCGAAGATGGCCTTCGCGGCCATCCGCGGCGATGGCTCCGTGGTGGCCTGGGGCCCGTGGTACGCCGGAGGCGATGCCTCCGACGTGGAGGACGGATGGGCCCAACGGTGGGCCCACAGGGCAGTGAGGCCGTTGGGCCGTGTTCAGTTTGGCCGAGTTGGCGGCTTGTGTTGGGGACGAAACAAGCTGGACACTTGCTTTTGAAAAATGCCAAGTTTCCCACTCGTGTGCCTCTGTCGAGCGGCCCAACGTGTACTCCCCTGCCTTCCAACATCACAAGCCCTCTAGGCCAATGGAAACTGCAGTCATTTTTTCCAGATTGTCCAGGTGTCCTTCGCTGTAGGACGAGCTCTTCGAGGTCCAGGAGATCTGCGCCACGCACCGCGCCTTCGCGGCCCGGCGACGCGACGGCCGCGTTGTGACCTGGGGCTCGGACTCCGATGGCGGCGACAGCAGCGCCGTGCAGGACGGAGGCGTCAGAGGCGTCGCGCGCTGGACGCGTTTGGTTTTGGGACGTCCCTTCTGGCCATACTTGCCAGGGCCAAAAGACAGGCGCAGGGCTCAAACAAGATAAACATGAATGCGCATGGGAATGACGGCCAGCAAAGGGTCACAGTCCAAAACTAGGGCATTCCAAGGAACTTTGAACATCCTGTCCATTCTTTCTTGGAGGAACATATGTTCACTGCGCCCTGCTTTGGGCTCCATTTTGTCACCAGAACATTGCCCCATTTGGATCATTGCAGAAGTGCGTATTATCTTGGCAACAACCCCATGAAAGGCAAAACCAAGAGGAATATGTGTGCCAGCTATTTTAGGGCTCATTTGCGACTTCTTCCAACCTCCCGCATTCCAACTGTTCGAGCGGAAGGTGTGAAGGTCAGATTCCTGGGTTACCTTTCCTTCAACCAAACCTCCGAGGATGACTCAGAATGGTGATTCGTGCATTCTCCAATTCAAATAGCTTCCGCAAGGACCGGCTCCACGAAGTTTGCGAGTTGAGGGCCTCCGAGGGTGCCTTCGCAGCCCAGCGGGCCGATGGGGCAGTGGCCCGCGTCCCAGGGGAGGAGGGGTGTGGCTGGCTGCCTGGCTGGCTGGTTTGCTGGATGTTGGGGATTGTGGGTTTTTTCTCTTTTTTGCTTGTTCAAGGTGGGGCTCGTCCATTCCATTGCTCCACGTGGCTCAGCAGAGAACAGAGATGCGACTCAGGTGACTTGGGGCAGCGGCAACTGCGGGGGCGACTCCGCCGCTGTCAAGGACCCGTCAAGGTGAGAGTCGGAGCGCCCAAACCAATTGGCCCAATTGAATATATATTTAAACCACGTAAATCATACATCTAGCTGATCCAAACCAACCCAAAGCTGAGCGATCCATTTAGTGATACGATTGTAGCCCGAAAGGGGTCACTCAGCAAGCCCTGCTTGCCAGCAGCGCCCAGGACTTGCTGTGGGATGTGCGTGAAATTTGCTGAGCGCCCCCGACAAAGCGGAAGCGGCTTAAATGTGTTGCGCAACGCACTGCTCGGCGTGATTTGTTGCAATGAGTCCATCAAAACTAAATGCTTTTGAATAGATGCAGCTGCGAGGCAAGACTTCTGCCCAGACGTCAGGACAGCTCCGTTGTACAGTGCATGCAGATGATGTTGGAAAGCAAAGATAGACACAGCTTGAGAAGTAGCCAGATTCTTCAACTCAGACGATGATGCCATATTTCCTCCATCATATGTCGAAGATTCCTTCACCCGAAAGGGGCTTTGTGTGATTGCCTGCAGCGAGCTGCTGCTTGCTCGAATCAGCATGGCATGGCCGCCGTGCGCCGTGGCCGGCGAATCCTACCGTAGTAGCCGTCAGGGTCATGGGAAGCCAGCGCCAGATGCCGAAAGAAATCTGAACGTGGGCGTGCGCACTCTTTGTTCGCCGCTACGCATGGGAACGTGTCAAAACCAAGTTGGTCTCCCGGCAAAATGAGAGTCCAAGAAGTGTCCTGCCAAGTGGTTTTGACGGTTCTGCCAAAGTCAGACGGAGAAGGCAATCAAATGCAGTTGCCCCCTGCATCTCAAAGCTTGTGACACACCAAGATGTCTTATGCTTTCCGATTCCCCTGCAGTATTTGCCACAGGTTTGCGATTTCTTAGACTGAAAGTCGTTTCCCCAAGCCAGCCCTACAAATAGGGTAAATATGAAGGTGGCGTCACCAACGGAAATGTTTGATTTTTTGCATAAACTGAGCTTGGGTTGAACATTTATTTGTTTGTGTGTGGACGCTGTTGAGCACTTTTGCTGGGAATGTGATATCATGAGTCAAAATGCTCCTGGCCTCTTGCATGGGATCTTTGTGCAGACAAACAGCGAACGCGCGACACGCACCACAGGCAAACGAACGAACGGACAAACAGACACCTGCCAGGAACCAACCAAACCGGAAGGTAGCCACGCAAACAGGCAAACAAGCGATAGAGCAAAAGTAAACGACGAATATGTGCTGATGATGCAGTGTATGTTTCATGTTTACAACCATAGATACGGATGAGTATAGACGTTCACCAAAAGATATGCCGAGGGAAACTCCGGTCGAGGCCGTGGAGTGCACTCCGGGCTTTGATGCCCCCTGCTGCAGTGCCCGGGGCCCTGGCTCGTCTGCGATGAACAGCTGGGTATGTGGCAAGACTGGGGGGACCCAAAACATGTGATGCTGCTTTTGGTTTACCCTCAAAATCACACACAAAGCTGCTTGGCGGCAAACTCTGTCATGCTTGGGACTCCTTGAAACACCGGTCAAAGGACTCCTGGGTATTCTGGTCAAGGAACAGAATTATGCGCGGCCAAGTCAAATGTTGTCAACGCAACTTGGGCAATGTACCCTGGCTTGGATCTTGGCTAAGACGCCCTCCACCCGCAGCACCGCAGGGCACCAAATTGCACTGCGGCTGAGGTGAGGGCCCCTGAGTTTGGCATCCTCGAAATCGGGGTGTCCAATCAAGAACGTCTGAAACTATTTCAAAAGAGTGCTTATGGCATGGTTTTTCACAGATCCGAATCGCCCCCAAATTAGTGGGTCTTCAAAAGGTGAGACTGTCGACCCGTGCAAATCAGATTCTGGGGCAATTGCGCCACTGAGAGATAAGTCTCAGCTCCGAGGCTTCACATAGTTTCCACCCAAATAAGTCGCGTGCATGAAATCGATTTCCTGCAACGCGTTGTGTATTTTTCCCGGAACAAGAAGGCCATTGCCTGTTGTTCGACCCACCAAGAGAGGTTTGAAAGGGGTGAAAATCCATGTGCCCCGTGCTCAAGGCTTTGGGCTGGTGCGGGAGATCGGCAGACCATTGCAAGTGCGAGATGTGCTCCGACTACCGCCACAAGGCGAAGGCGCAAGGGTCGCCGAGAGTTTGAGGGTATTTGTCAATGTGTTTTTTCTCCTTTGTTTATTATTCTGGGTATGCTGCATGCTTCATATTATTTCATGTTATGTATGATAAGTCTTAGACTGAGAAGCGACTGTGTGCAGGCGGACTATCTGCTGGAGCAGGCAAAAGGCCATAAGGACACAATCCCAAGGCTCTATATTGAATTTTCACGAGCATAGCATGGCAGCATGTGAGGGTGAGTGAATTGATTGTCTCCGTTCTAATCTGTTGCTCAAGTCACCTAAAGAGCCAACTTTGACTCGAATCACAGGCAAATCCTCCGCAAACACACCCAATACCCACCTATTTGAAGCATTCATTCAAAGCCGCCGCCCCCAAACCTTTGCCCTCGACGGCCAGTCACGAGCCAAATGCGCGGCCTCGGTCACAGTTTTGGCCGTTGAGCGAGCTTCCTTGGGTGGTTGGCGATGCTTAGAAATGCTGCGCGAAGAGACCTGAGTGTGATGAATGTTCGGCCCAGACAGATTCTCCACTGACATCGCTCCATGACGCGAGTCAGCCAACAAGTGCTGACCCGCAAAGCAACAAAGGAAAGGTGACAAGCAGCTGCCAAAAGGAGGAGCATGACGAATTGAAACAACTGCGTGCTGAACAAAATGGCAGCAGGGAGGAACGACCCATCCGGAGTAGGGGTCGGGAAATTTGTGTCTTTGACTTGGTGAGCGAAATGGGGAAAGCGAGCTGCCCTTTAAAATTGTTGGTGGCGTGGGGTGTTTTTAAGCTTGGGTCTGTGTTTTTGTTTCGGCCCCTGAAACCGGGCCTCACGGCTCCGGCCTCAACACATTGAGCTTCCTCTGGGTGGGATGGAACTCAGCGAAGGCGAAAGAGTGCCGTCGCGTGTCAGATCAGCTTCCAGAGCATGCGCCTGCACCACGCGAAGCGGGAGTGCGAGACCATCGCCGCGGACCTCGGAGAGTTCACATCCCCGGAGGACAGACCCGTTTCGGTGCCATTGGTTCTGGGGTGCAGGTGAAGAGCCCCTTGGTACAGCTGGAGGCAAAATCACCTCGTGCGCAGGAGATGTCTTGCGCCGGGAGTTTGTTGTGAATTGTGCGTTTCATTGACAAAAGGCTTCCAAAAGCAAAGCCTCAGCATTTTGATGGGTCCAATCAGCTTTTTGCGTGTAGCTGCCTGGTCAGCTGCTGCTGTGGTCACTGGGGCATATATGTGGCAGTGCTCTACCCGCAGTTGAGTAAGCTGAAAAGAACAATGTAGGAGGCATAGTTGTGCCCAGGGTGTAAGCCATGATGGCAATGATGGCCTTACGGGCAAAAAGAATCCCCGTGGAAAACCTAGACCTACACTTTGCGAGGGGGCCCTTTGTTTCCTCAGTGCCAGAGTCAAGGGCGCCGAGCACTTTGATCTATAGCCCCCTCACCGATTCTTGGTGCCAAATTGCCACGTTCCCAAGTTTCGACTCACAGGTCCTTGAAAGATGGAAGGGGTGTTCTAAGATGCTCCAAGATAAAGACAGTCCGTTTTGGACCCTGTGCGGGTTGAAAAGCAGGGTGATGCCAGATGGTTCGTAGAGCCAGCCATCCGCAGAGCAGATCAAGGATCGCCATCCCACTTTCTTTTCTTTCGTTGCGTGGCTGGCTGATCAGTGGTTCCCTCAGGCGCCGCAGAACAACAACAGCAGCAGCATCTTTTTCTGCCCACAAAGGGGGGCATGACACGCAGGACTGCGCGCACAGCGCGGTCAACGATGCGGAGCGCTGCCGGCAACTTTTACGCTTCGCATAGGACGGAGTGGCGACACACCGACTTCCTGAGCACGTTCCGCGCATCCGCTCGCGGAACCAGTGGTTAGGATGGGGGGCCGGGGAGGGAGAAGTACCCCATCCAATTGGCTGGTTCAGGAAGTTGTGGAGGCGTTTGTTTGAGGCGCTGGCCCAGGGGTGCGCAGAAACCATTGCGGCAAAGCATTCCACGGCACATCCGGAGATGTTGAAGATGCAAAAAAGCTTGACACAAAATAATATTAATCATGATCAGCTCCCGTGGAGAAGGCGCCTCTGCGTGTCAATGTTTGGGCGTGTTGTTTTGCTAGGAACTTGTCTTAAGTTTGATTTGGGGACCAATTGCAAAATTGAGTTTCTACATCTAAAGCCTTTCGCCTCTGAGCTGGGAAGGAGTTGGATAAAATACCCTTTAAAGCTAACAGGCTGAGGCTATGATACGTTTCGCTTGCCTTTTGCAAGGGTTTTCTGTCGGGAATTTATCATTCAGGACCCTCAAAACAGTTGGAGAATCTCGAACTGGGAAAGAACCTGCAGGAGGGGATTATTGGGCAGGCCCAACATTACTTGCAGGGGATCATCGGGCGCCAGGTGCGGAAAGATGATCATGTACTCCTTCAACTACCCCAATTGGGGCTGCCGATGCTGCGGCCTCGGTGCTTCCGTCGAACGGTTGAGACATTAAGCGCGTCAGGAGCTGAGAATGAGAGCTCGGCTTATTCTGAGGGCTGGTTCCAGGTCCATGTTTTGCCCCTTTGTGGGGGAGGGTCCCGTTGCTGATTGCACGTGTCCTGAGAATCAGTCAGTCACCAGTAAGCCGACGTTTCGAGCGCTGCAAAGGAATCCTCAACGAAGACTGAAGCCCTTGTTGCTTTTCTGAGGGGGCATGTTTCCCTTTGATGTCAACCAACTGGGAAAGAAATGGGGAGGGCAGCTGTTTGCCCCTTTGATTCCAACGTTTGTATAGGTTGCAAGTCCGTGTTCTAGAAGTCAGGCTGTCCACTCCGGTCCACAACGAAGTTTGCACACCGGGGAGGTCCGCAAGCCGAGGCTGTGCCATGGATACACCGACCGGAGATGAAGTCAGCAGCCCAGGGCGACTGGACATATCCGAATCCTAAACTCAGGGACAGGCCACGGACGGGCTGGCAGGTTGAGTAATGCGAACTAGAAAGGGGTAAGAAGCACCATCCAGTTGATCAGAAATAGCAAAACAAGTGTCTTTTTCTGTGCGCTCCACGCAATGGTGGAAGTTTGCTGCAGCATGGGCTTTGCTGCTTTGACCCTCGTTTGAATTGTTTGCATGACCCTGCTTGAGTGGATGGCTGTCAAAACAGGACAGGGGACCCTTCAACATGGCAATCGCATCCTTTTAGTTGTCCTAACCGCCGTTGCACATAAGGCTAAACTTTGGGCTGAAACGTGGTAAGCCGCCAGGCAGTACTTGCGGGAACTTGATGGCCGCCTCGTAAGGCGCCTTTCGACCCCTTCGAAGGTAGATCAACACCAAGCTGATCCGAGTTGAATCCAAGGGTTCACGCAGGAAGCGCATCGCCAAATCTTGGGCATCTTTCTGGGTAAAATTTCCGCGCTCGATTTCTCGAGGCTAGGAAGTGCTCCCAAGCATGCCTAGAGCGCATGGGGCGTTCTTCTCCCAGCTTCCCCTTTTTGTTCGGGGTTCCGAAACGCGGTTCCTTGTTTCCCCATGGCGAAGTATTTGTTTGCAAAGGCGGAAGAGAAATTGGGTTCCAGAAGGAGTTGGACTCCTAGCAAACTGTGCGGATCTACCTGTGCTTTAACTGTAGGGAACAGTCCAGTCATTTCCAACAAGTAACAAGTGTGGCTGGTCTAGTGTCATTCCAACCTGCCCCAAGAGCAAGCAACTGCCATACGTTGTGATTATTTGTTAAGCCAGTTGCTTGCAGTTTTTGCCCAGGAGAAGCCGGAGTGGAATGCCATTGGCTCAGAAACGCCTGCCGCCCTTGGCTGGGCAGGCAATGGACGGGCGCATCGTTTCGTTGGGATTTGCAAAACTGGAGACTCCCTCCTATAAAGGCCTCCGTTCCACTTCCGCTGCTACTGAAAAAATGCTATCTCGAACAGTACACAAGCACAATTGCTGGGCAACACACATGTAACGCGTCATTATCTCACCTGTTTGTCCTACAGCGTTGATAAGTGTCTAGACTAAAAAAAATACAAAATTTGTGGGGCCCGGACCCAGGGAGCATGAGATCAGTATCCTTGACTCGCGGTATTCGAACTTGCCCGCGGGTGCAAGACTGCGCAGCCGAGATGAGAAGGATTCCCGGAATGTGCATGCACTCATCAAACAATTTGCATGTGGACACCTGTTATTTGGGTGATTCAGACCTCACAAAATGGGCGCACGACCTGGTAAAGCTTGACCAAATGATTGAGGTTTCCAGGATCCAAGCCAGTGAGGGATTCGCGGGCTGCGAGCTAGAGTGCCCGATTCTCCAGAGGTTCCCTTCGACCCAGGTCTACTCCTTTGAGGTGAGCGAGGAGATTCTGTGAGGGAAAAAGCTCGGCTGGCAGCTGACGGAAGCCCTAAAACTCAGCAATTTATTGATGGGTGACGCTCGCATGCTGTATCAAACCGCTGTTCGCGCCTAGTGCTTGTTTTTTAGAGGGTGGCGAAGCTGAGGACTGGGACTACCCAAGATTGGTTTTTGTTGCGCTTGGCCAAGACCAGATGTTGGAAGACTCTTCATGCGGCTCAAGGCACTGCACAGGGAGACGCACATTGCTTGTCAATAAATCATTCTCCGCAAGAGCCAATATATATATATATATATAATATTTGTATATATATATTGTTTCCATGTTGGCAACATGATCTTCACCCACATCGTTCGAGATGACATCAAAGTGCTCTGGAGTGAAGACTTCTGGAGGGGACAATTCCTTCATTGAAGCTGCAAGTTGTGCATATGATCCTTCGCGGAATGAATCCATCAACATGACGTTAAGACAAGCATGACTAGTGGTGAAAAGACAAGCGGTTGGTTGATTTTTGGGCATTTGCTTATTGCGAAACATCGGCTGCAACTTTTTGGCGGTGATTCGCCCTCCAGTTGGCCGGAGATCTCGTTGGGCTCCATCCGTGGCCTGGGCGGCCATCAATTTCCGCCTGTCATGCGCCGCGTGGAGAAGTCGTTCCTGGCTCAGAATACAAGCGTGCGGCCCCAGTGCCTGCCGGATGCGCGGCAGCAGTGCATGTGCTGGAGTCTTCAGTTGCTGAGCCTCAGCTGCAGGCTGCTGGCGGAGATTGGTCATTGAAGGGAAACGATGATAAGCTAGTAGGGCTTAGCAGGGTCTCGTATGTCAGCACGCAACTACGGGTTTGTGCATGAGCCAGGCCACCGGAGGAAAGGCTGAGCGGCGCGCGTCAGCTACGAGATGTCGAGTAAGGGCTATTGACTCCTTTTGAATTGTGAGCGGGTGTGCGGGCAAATTATGTCGAGCTCAGCCAAGGTACGATTTAATTACATGATTTAACGAGGCATGGCCCGAGGTAAAAATGCAGCGATGAGCCAATAGGGGGAGAACTTTGGTAGCTGCGGGGACTGTGTGAGAGGTGGAAAACTGCGGGGCACAGCAAGACCAAATACGGCAACAGCCCGAAATGGAGCGTTTCAGGCAATCTTTGCCGGCCATCAAGCTACAGCAAGACCGCGGGAAGATTATGGGAAGGCTCCGGACTGGGACTGGGTGGTCTCCTATAGGCTCATTGTTCCTGGTGCTGCCCGTTCCTTGCCGAACCCCAGTTCGGGCAAGGACGGGAAGATTGCTGCAAGGGAAGACTGCTGGCAAAGACTGCCCGAAACGCGCCGTTCGAGCAGTGGCGACGTTTCGGGCAGTCTTTCCCGAACCGTTCCTCGTAATGCTGCCCGGTCTTTCCGAGAAATGCGCTGGGCAGACATTCGGAGTTTTCCGGGCATTCATTTTCATATCTTCCATCTCATGGTAATGTGCCGGCCTTTTACGCTAGGAAAAGTTGGTGTATTTCACTCGCTCAGCACGTGAGAGGCCCGAGGATCAATCACCGGAGTGTCCATGCTCATGTTCGTAGCCTTGCTAGTTTGCGGCCTGCCGGCCTGCCTGTTGCTCGCAAAATCACGCCGGTCTTGCCAGACTTTGTGCAGATTACCCACCTGGCAGGCTGAAATTCCGGAGGGTTTCGGGCAGCCTTTGGCGAGCCCCAGTTCGTGCAGTTATTTTTCTTCAATTGTCCATGTCAGGGGTATTAGTGGTGTAGTGGTATCACACGACCCAGGGAGTCTCCATGCTCAACTTTGTTCAGCTTGCTTTTGCGGCCGTTGGGTTGGTGGTTTGTGGGTTGCGGGCTGTCCTGTTGCTGGAAAATTTGCCTTCGGTCCTGCAATTGAGGGCGAGCAAAGTGCTGCAAGGGAAGACTGCGCGAACAGGCACAACAGGATGACCGACTAAGTCTGAGCCCAAGTCTGTTGGAAGCCGACGGTCCGATCAGATGTCGATGTAACAAGGCGAGGTGCTATGTCCGTTAAAGCCTCAAACACGCTGACGAGGTGAAAATATGGTAAACTGTCCAGATTCAGATCTGGGGTTCCTATTTTGGAAAGGGCTCACATTGCCAACATGCAAGCAACGCAGAGCGAGCGGGATATTGCAATTCCGGGTTGCTGGGCTGTTCCGGACGGGGCTGGTCTGTCAGAGGAACAGGGGGAACAGAGAACTCTCGATTCAGCATGCAAGAGCTCAGTGGAAGGAGCTTCGCTCGGCATTAGCAACATTGGGGATTCTCATGGCATCCTGCTACAAGAACAACGGCCAATTGACCGGTGTGGGGTATTGTTGGACACTTGCATGGATTGTGGCGTCAAACAGCAGGATCGCTGAATTCTTTTGCACCCCACTTCCGAGGAGGGTAGTGGCCCCTTGGCGCTTCATCTGGGCCTCCGCAGATCTGGCCAACCTCCAGCGCTACTGCGCCTCCAAGGAGGTGCCTTTGCCTGTCTGCCGGGGCCCTGAGCAGGAGATAGCGGGAGTGAAGCTGACCCCATGTTCAGCCACTAGCCATTCACAAGAACATACGTTCGCAGATGTCTCAAACTGGTTTTGTGTGAGAGTGTTACTGTTCACGGATCTCGTCGCATGCAACTGGGAGCCTACCCAACTAAAGGCATGTGTGGAGGTTTCCCACCATATCATTGTACAACGTGTTTCGGCAAGAGGTCTAGCAATGCTGCTGGTCAGCATACTGCGCAAGCGCTAAGCTCGTTCGGATTGTGGAGAGTTGTATCACTTCCTAGAATACGACCAGAAAGACACTCCACTGTCCTTGGTTCCGTGTTAGCTTTGTCAAATTTCCACAACTGACATCAAGGGACCGATGCCGATGCAGCAACGCGAGTCTGACCATATCAATTGACTCGAAAAATATTGAAGCACCTGAAGTAGAGAGCACTTATTCAGCGCACATGACGAAGCCAATCGGAGAATTGGCCAGTTATTGCTTTTATTCAATTCTATGGTAGTTTACCAAAGTTCATTTTTAGGCTAGCGGCACTTAGAGAGAGACCAGAAGGAAACCGGCTGACATTTGCGCAATCTGCAGAACCCGCGCAACAAGTGCTGAGAGGCTACCATCATGTGTAGCAGTCCCAACGCAATCATGAGTGAGCCAAACGCGCAAATGCACTTGACGTGTTCTGCCATTTGTCTTCGCTTTGTTCGGGCGGTTTTCGTTGAAAGAGTAGCACAGAGAACTCCCCGCAAAAAACTCCAACGCTTGCCGCGGCCCAGGCATCATCCCGGACCTCACGGTTGTGAGCCCATGGCTGGTTCCAGCAACGCACCTGCTGTTGGCGGTGCTGGTGGCGTGGCGCAGATTGGGAAGCTGCAGGTGTCTCCAAGAATGGAGGGCCCGAAAGTGGCCGGGTTTGCGTTTTGCTGGTTTTGGACACCATTCAATTGGGTATCCTCAATTTTCAGGCACCACAATATGTTTTCGAGTGATTGGCGCGCATTGGTCGCCTGTTGCTCATACAAAGGGCAAAGAAAGTGAGATAGAATCTGCCAGTGACGATGGAAGTCAGCGGCATCGTAGAAGACCGCGAATCACAAGCACGGCGGGGGCAAGATTTGTTGACAAAGCAAAGTTTCAAAGGAGATGCGGTTAGTTCACTTTTGGCAACCATGTTTCGTCTTGAGGTTGCCTAGCAACCAACCCAACAAGAAGCATAGAAACTCAGATGGTGTGGTGGGGGGTGGGGGGGGGTTGGGGGTTGGGGGGTTGGGGGGGGTTGGGGGGGGTTGGGGGGGGGGTTGGGGGGGGTTGGGGGGGGGGGGGTTGGGTGGGGGGTTTCGTCGCCACATTGTTGGTGGTGTATCTAAGATCCGCCAAGGCAAAGGCCACTTGTAAGGTTGCCCCTTTCTAGCAGGCACGCGCTTTTTGGTGGGCCCACCTCAGGGAGAAGGCCACCGTTAGTTTCCAAGGACTTGCTGATGATGCCTTGGGTGCTTTACGAGTGGCTGACGAAGGCAACCGCAGCTCCTCAGCGCGTGGGCTCTGGAAATACACGAAAGAAATACCCTGAATACCCGGAGATTAACTTTCTTATCCCTACCGCCTTTTGGCTCACACAAAACCGGAGGAAGTTGGGGCAAGGAAGAGACCATCCGGCACGACCATGGAGGGAGCGGAATGAAGTGAGCAGGGGTTCACCCACGATCTAAAATGGCTGTCACTGCTTTGAAAACATGACATTTGCAGGTTTGGCAAACCTGAAACTGTCGTTACGGGGCTTTAACCCATCCACTTCGATGCTCCGCGCGACTGAAGGCTCCCAAGCACAAGAGCTCGTTCCAGGACTGAGCTGGCAGTTTGTGCGGCCGCAGCTGACGTGAAGCCGCCAATCGGGCCCGGAAAGACAGGCCCCGAATGGCGGTGACTTGCACATGACCCCTGCAAGCAGTCGAAATTATGGTTCTGGTCATTGAGAAGGAATTCGAGCAATTGGGGTAAGCAGTGTACATCACCATGGCGACAGGACTGGCGGAGTTGTTTTTTTTGTTTGGTCCTTTGCATGGAGCCACAACAGGTTGGGGCAGCTTGGGAGGTGCCAGTTGACCCCATTGCATTTCTCACAAAAGTGGCGATTTGCCAATCCTGGCAAAGGTCCCGTTCCATTTTCAGAGATGTCAACGTGACTTCAAGGATTTGAAGGCTGGAGCTGGCTTTGCCACATTCCGTAATAGCTTGCGTCAGCCTCCTCAGGGCAGTCCGTGGGACTTATCCATTTGTAATTCCTGGCTTCGGGGAACGCTCTTGGTGGGCAGATTCAAAATCGGATTGATACGGGAAGGACCCCTTTCCGTTGGTGTCCAGGTTGCTTGGAGACTGTGACTGTCGTTTAGTGAACAGTTTAGGGATTGTTTACTTGTTGTTTCACTTTCAAAATACCTGGGATTCCTGGCTGCGTTTTTGAGTCAGGGAGCTTTTGGTTGCTCCGGGGGCGCTCTCTCAAGCTAAGTGT